CATCCCGCAAGTTAGTATGAGTATTTTTGAAAATAAAGTTAAAGAGTTTTTTCGAAAATAAAAAGCAAAAGTTTTACTCTGATTTTATAAATTCTAGAATAATTAGGCGGGGTGTTACACAGGTGGCCAATCCGCCCACAGTAATAACAAAGGTTTACAAGTTTCTCATATTTCAGCGTTACCGTGATCAGAGTATCTCCCAACCTAATTTGAGTCCATCTGGGCAGAGGTTCATTAAGGTTGATTATTGCCAAACTTCTGAGGATTCTCCCCTCTTGCCCCCCCTGCTCTGGACACATTCACATTTTTAACATTCTTGAAAATTCTACCTGCCTTCAATCCAACTTCTGTACACAATCAGTTCAGAGGAATGTTGTGAAGTTGAACCCACAGACTTATTTCTTCAAAGCATGAGTCTGTGCCCTTCAACCCCATTTTCCAGTCTTTGAGAATTAAGTGTTGATTCTCAAAGACCCAATTCCTGTCTCTCGCCACATTCGCTACTTCTTCTTGGCTTGGAAAAATGAATAGAAAGAAATTTGCGCTGAGCTCGCGAACTTCCAGCTAGTTCCCTAATTTCCAGGCCCGTGCCATCGCTCTTTTAACCCCTATTAAGTTGGCTCTTCTATCTCCGACAATTTTCCCGAATAAGCTACGTCGTCATTCATCTTCACTGATTTGGACATCTCGATCCTCAATATCAGTAATTAAGCTTTCTTTCTCTGATAGTGAGAACTTCCCCATTAGCGATTCCAAGTTGTTTTCCCCCGCTTCCATTTCACCAACCAGACACAGCACCGTCGCTTTCACCACAAACCCTAAATTGATTGGCCGCAGCTAAGCAAAGAACGAGACAACAATATCTGATAACTCTGGATTTTTTAAGCGTTAACTCCCATTAGAGAGAAGGTAAACTCCCATTAGAGAGATTATGGGAGAGAGAGGTTTTTGAAATTTAGGGATTCTTATGTCAAAATTTGAATCTTATTTTTTGTCGCATCTTTTTTTATTTTTTTACCAAAATCTGAATCCTATTTTTTGGTAACATGTTTGGTGATTCATGAAAACAAATCTAAATACAAATTAATTTAAAGACCGTGCAAATTGGATACAAATTGAGGAAATGGATAGTTGTATAATTCTTAACAAATTCTTCCAATTTTTTGAATAATTTTTTCTTTAAAAGAATGTGTGCAATTTGAATAAAACCACGTGCAATTTTTATTTTAAAACATAGTTAAAATTTGGACGGGATATATATATTCAAAATTGCATCAACCTTTTGGTAACAAAATCGGTTCATCTTTGACATTTAAAATCAAAACTTATCTAATTATTTAGGAAAAAAATTCAAATCAAATCGTGTGCAACTTCTTAAAATGTGAATGCGTCGATATTTTTGGATTCTTATGTCTTTCTTACCATGTTTTACCGAGATTTTATTAAATTCATATCAATTTTTATAGGAAAGAACAACTGCATAAATCTTAACAAAATATTTTGATCTTTCATTAGAACTGATTTCAGTTCAATTTGTTTAGTAAAAAAATCGCTACAATGTTAGGAAAATGCGGTTGCATATTTAGGAAAAATTGATGGTTCTTTTCAGTTTGTTTTGACCAAACATCCAGATCAGTTTGTTTGGTAAGAAAATCGGTGTATTGATAGGAAAATTCAGTTTCATTTTTAGAAACTTAATCAAAACTTTGAATTAAAATTAAAAGAAAATGGTGTAAAAAAAACCTAAAAATCTCTACTTTCATTCTACTATAATTTTGTTTAATAAATAAGATCTTTTTTTAAAAAAAAAAAAGATGCAATTTGTTAATTAATAACTAATAATACATAATCTTAGATACGTTCCAAAGAATTAAACTAATAACGTTGTACATAAAAAAATGTTCAATAATATATAAATTTCATTTTCATGATATTTTCAATGTCCTAAGATAATTTAAATACAAAAATACATTATAAAAATAAAGTAGGTAATAATGTATATCGTGCATCGCACGGGTACTGTACGAGTTACTTTTAATCCACCATTTGCTTCCCAATTGTTCTTATTTTAGAGCTTTTTTACATTTTTATTTCGGTTCGATTAGCCAATGTACTATCTAGAATGAACTTTTAGTAAGTTGAGGAGTTGAGAGAACAAGAAATGGATTCATCCCCTGTTCCACAATTGTTCTAATTTTGCTCTTTATTTTTCCTTTAACCCAAAAACTCTGCAAAATTTTTCCTATATATAATTCCCGAATGTGTTGAGCCTAAATGGCAGGTTCGCATGCTTCGGAATCCTATGTGTCAAAATTTAATGCTTTGTTATTTGACTTGGATAAATTTTAATTTAATTCCAATCCAAAACTAATTAGGTTCAGATAACCATAAATATGTTGATTTATTTATTATTATTTTAGATATATTAATTGTATTTTAATATCATTTTCTATTATAATTATTGAATTGTAAATGTATTTTAAAAGTTGATAACTTCTGTATTTTTTATCAGTTTTACATATATAATGAATCAAACTAATCATCTTTTGATGAGCTTCAATTTGACATTCATATTGTATATATAAAATAAATAAATTATATTTATCTCTACAATACTAAAAAAAATATTTATTAAAATTAATTAAAAAATAAAATTATTTCTCAGTTAATATATTCATGTTTAACGTAGTTATATGTTATAAGTTAAAAAAAGAATTATTATAATACAACACATGTAAGTCACACAAGTAACAAGTGTCATATTAAAATATAATATATATATATATAAAGTATTTAAATTACAAACTATTTTTTCTCATTAATTTTATTTGTTGCGAAAAAAAAAAAATGAGCAAGCACCCGTGTAATACACGGCATTGTACTAGATAACATGGTAAGTTAAACAGGTTGGGATGATAAACATGGAGAACGAAAATAAAACCAATAACTAAAATACTCAGATTTGAAGTTTGCTATATCAACTAGAGAGCATCATCAATCCCCTTTAATTAGAAGGCTCGTGACCCATGCGTGCAAGTACATTTAACTCAACCAAAGCATTGTACAACAAGAACTCTTAAACGTGAAGGCTGTCCCTTCCATTAACACATTAAATTGTGCAATGACTTCAATAACTTAAAAGGATAATGATTATAATGTCAAATCGTGTGTGGTTCATGTGTTGCTACACCAACAATTATGTGTTCTTGTATACACCCAAGAATTGAATAGAATGAGAAGGCAGGAAGGCTAAAACATACTTGCTTAATTTGGGTTTTCTTTTTAGCCTCGGCCAGATTTGAAAGAAAGTTTATGTTGGTCAAGGTGCTAACATATCGTCTTCTGAGGCTGAAAAGCCATTGCGCACTTCCTCGCCTACCCAGTCGTTGTCTTCATGTTTTCTTCGCAAACTCCCATTTCGTCTCTGGCTCTCTAATGAATCAACAAATATATATACATGTGAACTTAAGATCTGTAGCAGTTGAACAAATTTCCATACAAGTAAGGATAGCTACAAAAATATTTCAAGTTCTCTTATGGTATAGAAAAGGCAAGTATAAGACGTGTTTACGATACTTTAAGGGGGTATTTGTAATCAAGAAAAACAATTGTCTTTTTCAAGCAAGGGTAGTTTGCTAATTAAATCCCCCTATATATAAGCCTAATCCGCAGTGAGAGTGCGTGTTTCAGAATCCTATTTGTTATATAATTCTATGTTTTAGATTGATACATAATTAGGCTCGCGTGTCTTGTCAAATGTCAATTAAGAATGGTTATCTCCGAAATATATAAAATATTGTCCTCCATTGAAACAAAAATCATTATTTATTTCATTCCATACTTTTCTTCCATAGTTACCATAATCATTTATTTTTTATTTCATATTTTTATATTGCATATCTTTACTAAAT